CTTCTGGAGGGCCTAAGGAAAGGGTTCTAGAAGGTCAGGCCATTCACCATATCACAATGTGGTAGAGGTGAACCCCAAAGTTCCCAAGCACTACTGCATTCCTAGCATCTACCCCTAGTTCTGGAGTAGCAAATTCTTGAATGTATGCGTTTTCTGATTTCTCCTCTCTTGAGTTGAGGGAGAGGTAAAGGGTGGTGTTGTGCTAGGGTTATGGGATAGCAGGCTTCATCCTCCATCAGCATACTGTGTGGATCTCAGACTGCTCCTATTCTCTCAGATCTTGGCTTTGTTGAGAACTCAGGATCCAGAGGTCTCAGTTGAAGCTCAATTCTTCCTTCAGCTCTTTGTTATGGGGCTTTGTTCAGCAACATGGGCATAAGGCAGGTAGGAGCCTGTGGGGGGCCCTGGGAAGGGCCTTCTCCACCCTAAGCCAGGATGTGTGCACACTAACCCGGCTTCCCACCTGATGCCACTGTGACCCTTCTGAGTGAATTCCATTCATTCTGGGCCTCCCTTAGTGTCCTATCTCTGTGTCCCTCTGTACTCCCACCAGGCAGGGAGGATGTGCCTGTCCCAAGGCCTTCTTTGATCTCTGGGGATGCTTCAGGAAAACACCTGCAGAGTGTTGGCTCAGCAGGCCTGGGCCTTGTGCCTCCTTCCCTGGGGGCCAGTTAGGGTCTGGGCCTCCATCCTTTTAGGCACAGAGTCACCATTCAGAGGAGAGACTCATTCATGCTTCTTCCCATCTGGGGTGCTGCATCCTGTCACAGTTGACACATTGTGCTAATCTGTGTGGTCTATTAGAGGAAGCAAGTCCTGCCACAACTTCCTCCTGGTTTGACAGGATGCTGAATGATTCTGGATTTCCTTAGGAATGAGGGGCATCCCCTGTCCCTCAAACCACATGATAAGAAAGTCCAGCATTTTCTTTTCTTTCTCAAGCTCTTGACATCCCTTGTGGTAAGTGGAAGGAGAATGCAGAGGTGCCACCTTCTGAGGGACATTAGGTGGCTAATATAGGTCTATCTTATCTACTCAGGGCAGCTTATTGCCTTCCTGCTTCCCAGCTTTCTCCTCTCACACCCAATCCTCTCTGGTCCCTTGCTGAGCACTAGGATGCCACATGCCCCTTTTCTTTTTTTATTAGCCCCTTGCTGTTGTGCAGGTTTGATGCATTTGGTGTTTTCTCTGGGGTCTGTCCTGTTCCTCCAGTGTTGCAAGAGCACCTGCTTCACACACATAATCTGCAACTTCAACCACTTTTTGGTGTCTGCTTGGGCTCTCATACTGGGACCAATAACTTAAACCCCAATTGAAATTTTCTGTGGTAACTTCCAGAATCCCTCTCTACCTCCGATTTTTTGGCTTTGACTCTCTGTATAGCTCTCACCCTTGTGGTCCTTTCCTAGATTCTTATTCACCACTCTGGGTCTTTGTCCATGCTCTAATTAATTGTGGAAGAATCTTTATTCTTCTGATCCACTAACTGCTCTCTCATTAATACTATGCTCTTTGTGTTTACATAAGCAAAGTGTCTGTACTTTAGCCAAAGCTGGCCCCTCACCCTGGGGACTTGCTCCCATTCCTTCATTTCTCCCACTCATTCATGGTTTCAGCAACTCTTCCCTTGTTCTCCTACATCATTAATTTATCCCCCTTAATTGCATCTTTTCCATAAACATTCAATATTAATTTGTGCAAACTTTTGGAGCATATCTTCTTGGTGCTATTGCCTCATATTTATGCATCTTATTTTGACCAAACCTCTTGAAAGAATTAAGTTTGCTGTCACCAGTTGCTCTCATTCCATTCTGTCTTGAATCCCCTCCAGCCATGTCTTCATCTGCATCATGTACATGAGGCTATTCTTCAAAAGTCATAATCTCTTTGTGGCTAGATCTGATGGTCTTCTTTGGCTTTCCATGCAGTCAATCACTTTGTCTTTGAAAGATGTCATCTTTTGGCTTCCAGTGTACCACACACTATGGTTTTTTCTGCTACCTCAAGGGCTATTGCTTTTCAGTTTCTTCTTACTGGTTCTTCCTATGTTTTCCAACTTCTTAAAGTAAAAGTATCCCACGACCCAGTCCTTAGATCTCTTCTTCATTTACATTCACTGCCTTGGTGATCTAACCTCGTATTATGGTTATATCTCTTTCTCTCATGAAGACAGGATTCTCTTTGGGGACATCATATTTCTGTGTTGAGGATAGACTGTTTAGGGTATGGTCTCAAGATGCTGCTGCTTCAGTTTTGATACACTAGAGGATGTGGTAAGTCATAGTCTGGATACATTTTTGAAGGTAGAGACAACAAGAATTTATTGATGGGTTGGATGTGGACTGTTAAGGGGAAAACTTATGGATGTTACATTCCACTGTACATGATCTGAACAACTGGAAATATGGAACTGCCATTAACTGATGTGGGAAATATGATCAGAGGGGTTTGATGTGTGTGAGTGGGTGGATGTGGGGCAGATTTCAGGAGTTCATTTTTGTATAGTTTGAGATGAATATTTGGTTTCCAAGTGTATATATTGAATAAACAATTTGGTCATGTGTCTATCACATGATATGAGATCAGGAGCTCCACGTGGCAGGACTGTGTCTTTTCCAATGTTGTGTTTGTAGTAGTACCTAACATGTAATAAGTACTTAAATATTTAATTTTTGAATACAAGATACTTCTTAAGGTCATTTTATTGTGACAGTTTCTTCTCATCAACTGAGTACTTCCTCCTGCGTCAGGGCTTCATAACTCATAGAATTCATCACATGATGTAGTGCTTTGTCTAGACCTTGGATGAAACTAATATAAGTATCATTATGCACTAGACACAGTTAAACCAAAACACTAGAGAGACCAAGAGATCTCTGAAATAAAAGGGCTTATCAAGCCATTACAGATACTAGCCAGAAAAATAAAGAATGAGTTCCTGGGACAAGTTTTCACAAATTCCAGCAGCAGAACTAGGTTGGAAAATGTCCACTAAACTGGAGCCAAATGTATTTTTTTTTATTTTTAAAGAGAGAGAGAGAGAATTTTTTTTAATATTTTTTAGTTTTCGGTGGACACAACATCTTTATTTTTTTGTGGTGCTGAGGATCGAACCCAGCGCCCTGCGCTTGCCAGGCGAGCGCGTTACCGCTTGAGCCACATTCCCAGACCCAAGCCAAATGTATTTTTAATAAACTGTGGGAAAAGAAAGTACCGTAACCTACATTTGCTATGGATAATAAGGGCACAATAATGGGAATTAGGCAATGTTTTGGGGTAGGAGGAAAATGTATAAGAAATATTGTCTGGATTGGTTGGGGATGGAGTTCAGAAAGTTTATATGTAAACAGAACATGGTGGTGATGGGATTTTAAGTCAACACTAATGGTCCTTTTGTTGATTCCATCTGTAGCTAGTAACTGATTAATCTATCTTCTTCATACCACCCTCTGGACTTTGTAATTAAATTTAGGACAATTCAGAATTATTCTTTCCACTATCCTTGATCTAAAATAGTGAGGTAAATGTGGATGGTAAATTATCGGAATTTAAGCCCAACCTTTACCTTCAATATGCCTTACTCAAGTCCCTGATAGGGAGCAGTGCAATAGTGTCCCTTCTGAAATGTGGCTGAAAACTTCTTTCCTACATAGGAAGGACTTCCTAGCCCTCTTCATGCCACCTTTTAACAAAGTATAATGGAGACAAAGAGATAGACAACTCCGCTTAAAGATATAGAGTGTATTTCAGGTGGTGCTCTGCTACACCTGTTCATCAATGGAAATGAAAATAGCGCTCTTCAAGGAATGCCCAGGTTGGGGAGCCTCGAACACTTCCTCATTGCTTTGGGAGTTCTCTGGAGCAGGACGATGTTTCAGAG